ATGGAACTTCAGAAGGAGTTGACTTATGAAATCCCCACTGATTCAGTGAGTCTTCTGTACCATACTTTATCACGCAAAACAATGGGATTTCAGACACAGAATGATACAAAAACAGCTCGCTCTTAACAATGCCAAACAATGGCGCCATTCCTCCTGGAGAACATGAGCAAACAGACGTTTTAATCCAACAACATCTGGAGGTCCACAGTTTTCCCCTCCTTGACATAATAAAGAAGCCTGAAAACACAAAGGAAGGAGAGTCCACTGTCTCTAATGAATATCCTTATCAGCTTATCCTTAATCATGTTGACATGAATGGTGAGATTACTGTTGTGGAAAATCAAATCATATTATTTGTTGCTTGATTATGGTGCCATAATGAATGGAAGACACTTTGGGCTGTGATAAAGAGCCAGTATACTTGTTAAGGCCAGAGGATTGGCACTGAAGTGGTGAGATTCCCATATACATATAATCATAAAACTGTAGAGTAGAAAGGGATTCCAAGATTCATTTAGTCCAGTCTCTTGCCAGAGTAGTAAATACCTGCTAAAGCATCCCTAGCTTTAAAAGCCTTCAATGAGGGAGAGAGTCCACCATCTTCAAAGATAGTTTGTTTTGCTGCTTGACAGCTTTAACATTGAGAAATTCCATATGTTTGCATATTGTGTTGCAAGTCACATTAGAGCAGGCTCATTGAATTGGTGGGGATTTGTTGAGTCAGTTCCGCTGTAAATTCCATTGATTCAAATGGACCTACTCTAGCTGCAATTTATTTTAGCATAATTTACTTTTGTTAAAAGTTTCAGGATTTCAGCCATTCTTTGTGCAACATACTGGCTGAAAGGCAGTAGTAAATTGCAACTAGAGTGAGCCCATTGAATCCATGGGGGTCTGGTGAATCCTCCATAAGTGCAATTGATTCAATGGATCTTCTAGTCACGGGTTACTAGTAGCTTCCAGACACTATGTCAGGCCAGTGAAAAATCATACTGAGGTTTTTTGTCTCCGAATCATGACATGGTGGCTTCCAGTGAACATATAGTGTACTAAATGAGGCACCTATTCTGCTGTGGCTAAGGTGTGACCAGGTTGAGCTCAACTCTGCAAGAATGCTCACTCCATTTGCAAAAGCAACACTGAAACTACCTCTCATTCCAGCCTCTATTTAAACCTTTCCACAAACAGATGAGCAAGCAAAACAAATTAAGGGATTGGCAACATACAGTGGCATATTTTATACACAAGCCCCAATATACCACATTCATTTTCTTCCTTTTCAAGAATCAGCCAAACCACAAGCTCATCTTAACAAGGAAACATTTATTTATTGTTCCTGGGCTCTGAAACTTAGTGTTGGAATTTAAGCCTTAATCTCGGATGGTCTTACTTTTGTGAGCAAGATCATTAACTGAATGGGCCTGCTTACGTGAATCAGAAATGTGTGGATTTGGGTTTAATGCAACAACCTGTTAATAATGATAGTGGTGCCACTTGGTTATGACTCATTCAATGATGGGGATGCCAATAGGCGGAGTGATAAACAGCGCACAGTACAAAGCATGTGGACTGCTGTGGGACAGCCAAGCCAAGGTGTCACATTCAGCTTTTCTAGACCTGCTGTATTAGGAAGGTAAGTTGCTTGTCCCCCAGTTGCTTTGTGTTTTGTTTGTGCAATATCTAATTTTACCTCAGATTTATTATTATTTTAAGAGTATGTGATTTTAAACTTCGGTTTGTCTTCCTTTTCCCTTCATACCACTCATGGGGAACTTGATTCACCAGATCCCCATTGATTCAGTGGGCATACACTGGTTGCAGCCTACTATTGAGTTTCAGTCGGTATGTTATACAGACAATGGCTAAAATCCTGGTGCTTAGCATCAGTAAGCTATGCTGAAATAAGTCACAACGAGAGCAGGCCCACCTGAATCAATGGAATTTACAGAGGAGCTGACTTACCAAATCCCCATGGATTCAATGGGCCTACTCTAGTGTGACTTACTACACTAAGCAACAGGATTGTAGCCAATATGTACATATGTGGAATTTCTTAATGCAAAATCTGTCCAGCAGGGGAACAAACTATCTTCAAAAACGGTGGACTCTTTCACTGTCTCTCATTGGAGGTTTCCTCCAAAGAGCTGAAGGAGGCATCCAATGCTTCTCTTTTTGCCAATTTTCCTCCCACAAAAACATGTGAGATAGATCAGGGTGGAAGAGTGTGAGGATAAGCACGGGTTTGCTGTAGGGTTTCATATCTGAGTGAGGATTTTAACTGGATCTCCTAGGGCTCAATCCACCATTATATCTACTACATTATGCTGAGTCTCCCTCATTAGCATGGCATGTTAAGGTCCTCTTCTCTCCTCCCTCCCTCTCCCTCTCTTAAACATCCAAATTCTGAATCAGGTCAGACCGAGACATAGCAACTGGCCCAAAGTCATCTATCATACTTCATTCCTTAGTGTTCAAAGATTTGTACCAGGGTCTCCCAATCCCCACTCTGCCTCGCTAGCCAGTACTCCACACTAGTACTTTGGTCCCTCTACTTTGTCCTGTTATGAATCTGTGAAAAGAATAGTATGCAAGCCTTATTTCCTGGAGGTTCTTAGTTCTTCTCTAAGCATTTTCTAGAACATTTCTGTATGGGTTCACCCTGCACTTCAGCACAGAAATCTGTGTATATGTTTCTGTGTAACCTTTGAAGTTGGGTATGCTTGGAACATGTACATTCTCTGGATGAATTGCATTTCTGTCTGTCATTTTAGAAATTTGTACATTTTTATTGGAACATTTTAAAAAGGTGGACGTGTTCTCAAGCACATGTATAAGATCAAAAATGTACAGATTTCTGACAGCACCTATCCAGTTCCCTTAATCAAGATAAGAAAGGGAAGAAGCTCAAAGAAATAACCAAAGTAAAAACAAAGAACTGCCAGGAATATTACATTTGCTCTCTTGTCTTTCATAATCCTTCAGATTTAGAAATAGGCTATTTCTGCATTGGCAGACCAAAAAATGTGTCTAACAATCAGAGAGATAAAAGAAAAAGAAGTCTTACTAAATTGCATAGGAAAAGCTATGAGTGTACACATGGACTCCAGTTTCTCAGTGAAAATAGTGAGATCTGAAAATATTGAATTTTGCCTGTGCCTGGGCTTCTGCTCCCACCCCTACCCAAGAGACAAAAGCAAAAATGGTTCTTTTTTTTCCACATAAAAATTAATGTTTATTTTATAACTTTTTATATCTCTTGTTCCTTGAGGACAATCACAATTCTTCCTACTTATTGAACAACCATAAAAAGATGTGTGTTATTTGGCTTAACGCTTCGAAGAACTAACTAATTTGTTTCTGCTCCACTTAATTTTCTGATACAACTTGTTTGCACAACCCTGTTCTGTGAATGTCCCCTTTTCACTCATGGTATTTGTTTAATGAAGACCGGTCAGAAGTAGGCTAAACCTCCCCAAACTTATGAATAACAGTTTGTCTTCAACATATATTTTGATTGTAGCACTTCAGAAATACTAGGATACGCCAGACAATTTGTGAGCCCCCACACCCATTCCACTGGAAATGTGACAGAACAATGCTCTGGATGCAACATATATCTTCCCCTTTATACTGGGCTATCTTAGCAAAATGAATTACTGTATATAGGGCATTAGGCTTTGCAGTAAAGAAATGTTTTGGCTGTGTCTGCTATCTTATAGCAGACATCCAGTCAGTCAAATCATGGTTTTCAATACTACAAGCATGATAGGAAGCTCACTGACCTATTAATTTATTTAAAATATTATCCTGTCTTTCTCCTTAAAAGGACTCAAGGTGGCTTGCATTATTGAAAGACAATATCCAAAAGCTAACAACAGTGACTGTCCAAATACTAAAAAAGGATCAAACAAATACCACACTAAAAACCTAAGGAACACCAAAACACATTCAAAGCAGTAAGATACAACAATCCATTAAAAAACCTCCACTTAGGGAAAACTTGCCTGAAGAGAAAGGTCTTTGCCTGCTTGTGGAAGGACAGTAAAGATGGACCAGCCTAGACTTCTGTAGGAGGGAGGAGCAGCAACTGAGAAGGCCCTCTCCTGTGTCTCCACCGAGTGCACCTGTGAAGGTGGCAGGACTGAGAGAAAGGCCTCTCGTGATGATCATAACACTCAATTAGGAACATAAAGGGAGAAGTTGTCCTTGAGATAGCTTGGGCCCAAGCCATTTTGGGCTTTATAGATTAGAACCAACACCTTGAATTCAGCCTGGAAATGGATTGGCAGGCAGTGGAACTGCTGTAGTGAGGGGAGCAGGATTAGGTGATCCCCGTGTCCAGCCCCACTCAACAATCTGGCCGTTGTGTTTTAGTCCTACTGTCGTTTCCTGACACTTTCCATAAGCAGCCCCACGTTACAATAATCCAGCTGGGATGTAACTAAGGCAGTGGTTCCCAACTCTTTTTTGAGTTGTGACCCCCTGTGGCGATCTCCCTTGTGGTCCCTTATTTCTCTGGGCTCCACAAAGGTAAATACGCCCTTTTCGCTGCCACCAGGTATTCACTTAATACCACTACAATTCCCACACATGCAGGAGCTGCTCATAAAACTTAGGAATCAGGGGTTTGATCAAACATTCTTTTATTAATGAACAAAATCATAAGGAGAATTAAATATATAACTGTTTCATGTATTCATTCACTGGTTTCATGTATTCATTCACTGGTGTTTCTCATATTATGTTTATATATTCATTCCTGCTTGTTCAATATGTTTTTACTCTTTCAATATTCCTTTCTTAACCCCTTCTTATCTATTCCTAAACCCTAGCACTCTCTCCACATCTTCTTGTCCCTACTTCTCTCTATCCCTCTCTTATTCCAACTCCCTAACTGTCTCTTCCAGCTGTCTTAACTGTCCTTCTGACTCCGCCCCTCCTGCTCTGTGCTCTGATTGATATGCAGGAATGACGTCATCTTTTGGATTCCACTGCGCCTCCTTTTACAATAGCCAAGTAACCTGCAGCTCTATCATCACATCTGCATAAAAAGGCAATTTTAATAGGGTAAAGTCATCCCTTTTCAGAAAGTAGAGGCTTCTTTCTCCCCCAAAGGGTCTGTTTCTCATACATAAACATGAATGATAACTTTAATACCCCATTCTCAAAGGTAAAAGGGGGGGGAATTAACAAGGGCTACAACATGGTGACACACAATCTCCTAGAAAATACTTTGCAACCCCCTTGAGGTTCACAACCCCCAGGTTGGGAAACACTGAACGAAGCCCTGTGCCATCGTGGCCAGATCAGACCTCTCCAGGAATATAAACCTTGGAAGTTACCTTTAGCCCTACCATTTCCGGAATCCTCTCAAGTTGGCAGCTTTTCTTTGAGAATTCTTGCATTGTATTTACCTTTAAAATAAAAGTGTGCTTTTAATAAGACACAATGCTTGGTTTTAGTTAATGGAAAAAGGTTTAAAATAGAAAAACCCATCTTTCTCCCCTTAGTCACAGGTGTTTTTGTGTGTGTGTTTTTTTAAGGGTGTATATGTCTGTGACTGACTCTACAAAGAATTTCCCTCTTGAACTATTAAGATTGGAGTTCTGGGGTTTAGTTATGACAGAGAAGACCTAGGTTCATCTTCCCATTTACTCATAAAGCTTACTGGGTGGCCTTGGGCTGATCAATATAATCTCTCAGCCTGACCTACCGTACTTCACAGAGTTTTGTGAAGTTTTTTTTAAAATAGGAAGTAGGACCATGTACTGTACTCTTTGGATGAAAAGTAAGCTACAAATGTACCAATTAAGTGATAAAAATAAAGTGTAAACACTGATCCTTGAAAGAAATGGAGGAAAGGGAATGGATGATAGAAGGTGGTCTAGAAGGAGCAGGAAAAAAAGGAGTAAAGTAATCTTGAAGGAGCCCTAGGTTGGATTCTTTGTTGGGTCAGCAGTTGGGCCCAAGACTTAAGACCCTTTCATCTGTCCTGCTAGTGGTTATCTCCTGCATTTGGTTGACATACCTAGCCTGAAATATCTGTGGCTGAGCAAGAAGGCCAAAAGGATGCTTTCTTTTCTTATCTAGATATTTCCTTCAATGCAGGCAATTCTCATGCAGGTCTTTTCTTCTTGATTAGAACAGGGCAGGAGTTGAAGCCAACTTACAAGTTTCTATGGGCTGCAAGATGCAGGCTAATCTGCATATTATTTTTGCCTGTGACTAAGAGAACTATTCTATCAAATATAAATGGCACTCACTGAATGCATTGTGCCCTCCCCCAACAGAAATATCTGTACAACATGAGGACCATCATCATAATGCTGCTACTTTCATTTTTCACCATGGGCGTCTCTCGCAAAAGGCATTTCGTAAGTATAATTATTTCACAACATTCAGAATTTAATAGCTTGGACTGCCCGATTAATAGAAGTATGGCCACATCTTTGGCCTGTTGGCCAAATGCAGCCTTTGCAGGTTTCCTCACAAAAGTCTCAAGCTTCTTCTGCTGTATTGTTGATATGTGCTTGGAAATAATATGTAAAACATTATTTAAAGCCAGGTAGTTCTTGCAGGTAGTGCTTTGTACAGATTGGGAAGCAGTTGTACAGTGCTTACACTTAAACATATATGTATAGATTGAGCTCTACCCTGCAAGCTTGTGTGATAAAATGCCCAGATTGGTAGAAATGTATCTGGCTTTATCCCCATTAGTTTGGCTTTATCTTGTGCTCTTAGCCCTGCTCACTGATGCAATGTTTACTGGTGAAACTGGGAATCTACCCCAAAATGAAATTCATCCTCTAGTCTGAAAAAGTTTCCATCCTTGATTTAATCAATTTCTCTAACAGCCTTAATTTGTTCTCCCTTGTGTCATAACAGTGGCCCATAGGATCAAGTTCTGAGGAGGTTTTAACTTTCAGTTACAGGGGAAAACACCATTCTGATGCCCATACAGTAGCCTCCACGAGGCAAAACATTTATTTTTCTTTGGGTGGGCATGAATGGCATTTGCTCGATGAGAAAGCATTCTTGAACTGATGGTGAACATTAACATGTGTGACAGCAGCAAAAGCATCTAGGACGGCAATATCTACAGCAACAGGCACAGGATATAAACAACTTGTCACTTTGAGCAGGATTGGTCAGATCAGAGACACCAGGAAGCATATATGGGAAGATCTCTTTTAGTGGTGATGGTGCTGATAGCAGTTAAGTGAAGGGATTGCTCTTACGTTTCTGAGGAAGACGCTTTGGAATGGGCTTTCTCTCTCTTTCTCTCTCTCTTTCTCAGGAGGTCCAAGTAGCTACATATGCAATACACTACACAAGCTTTTCCAGATTGAAATTGGCTTGTCTGTCTGTTTCCTTTCTGAAAAGAAAACACAATTATATGGGGGTAAACAAATTCTACATCTTGTTATATTTTTTACAGTACTATGTTGTTGGAAATGGATATCTAACCAGGCCTGTTCTACCACCAGCATCTGGATTTCACAATTCCTGGAGGTTCTCAGGAATTGGCAGGCAGCTACATTACATTCTGTATTGCTTCATCCCCAACAATAAACCTGCACTGACCACCACTACGAGGAAACCTGTGACACCTAGTGAGGTTCCAGACGGTTTCACGCCGACAGATGTTCCAGAGGTTCCCCTTGTTACAACACCTATGCCAGTTACAGAGGACTCGGATGAAGGAAGCAGTGACGAAGACCATGATGGAGGAAGGGGAGATAGTGATCCACCGACAGTTGGCTACTAAGATGATTGCATGAGGCACAACTATACAAGTGTGTGTGTGTGTGTGTGTGTGTGTGTGTGTGTGTGTGTGTGTGCGTGTGCGTGTGTATGTGCACATACCGTGTGTGTGTGTTTGTGTGTTTGTGTGTAAGAGAGAGGGGGGGTCCAATAATTTGGATAAATGGAGCTGGAGAAGTGATTCAGACATGGAATCATGGTTCTGGGGGCTATTTTCCCCCCTCCCACTGCTGTTTTCCCGACCCATATTTCTCCATGGGAGTTGCTGTATGATCTGTGAGAACAACACTTATTTACAAGCCTATGCCTACCAATGGCATGTTACCATTCTGAGTCTTCATAGTGTGTGCTGCTAAAGCACATTTTCCTCACACAGATGCTTAGCTACTTAACAGCATATTCTGTGACATACAGAAACCTGGAACAGTAGAAAATCCTGAGAGCATTAATGCAGAGGCATTTGTTGTTATTGTTGTTGCAGCTTCACACAAGAGGGAACATGAATATCAGCAAAACTTTATTTATGTGCTATACCCCCCCCAGCTTAAAAGAGGGGAAAGGGTGTGTAAAAGGGTGGGCAGACACACAAAAAGAGCAAAAAGCTGTTAAAGTTTTGGATATTTTATGGCATCTTTGTTCCTATTCCATCATTAATGCTTTCACACAACATATCAGGAAAGAGGCTCCACATTCCAGAATAATTTCCTTTATCTTGTCCTCATTTCTGTGTGCTCAGTACAGAGTAGCAATGGAACAAGAGGGCAGTGTCTTCAACAGTGGGAGCAGCAGCTTCATCACAATCTGCAGTTCTAGAAATGCAGCCTTCCATCTCAGCCTCAACTTTATTTCTGTCAAGGGTACTGAATGTTATGCATCAGCAAAATATTTATAAGCTTAGGAAAAGATAATGTAAAAAAAATTAAAAGCACACACATCAGTTAGAAAGATCACGAACTCCTGGTTTTGCTGTCATCCTTTTTTGGGAGTACATATAGATTTCTGCCTAATCACGGCTATACTGCAATCCTGGCTCTCTGAGCTGGTTTTGAAAAAAATGCTGCAACAATCAGCAAAAAAAGGGGGGGCATTAAATCCCCCCCTCTCCATGAATAGGTATGTCTGTTATTAGTATTAAATTATTTATTGGCTAAAACGAATATTGAAAAGAGGAGGGGAAGAGCAGTCTAGCTTCTTATATAATTAATTGGAGGAATTAAATGGTGGACTATTTTGCCTTCTATCTCAGGTTCTAGGAAGGGTAGAAATTGCTTTTTAAATGAAACTAGGAACTGGGGATTATTATGACTATTTAATCTTTACAGCAACTAACCCTTTGTCCTCCCTGTGGATGGCATGCAGGTATCATATGTACCTTCACAGACATAGAGATCTGCAGGAAAGGCTCTCCGCAACCCACCATTATGTGAATAAACAACATCACGAGCAAACGTCAGACAGAGCCTCCACTTTTAAAGTGCCTTCCCCTTGGAGGCCCACCGAGCACCAACACTCATGTCATCTCATCCCCAAGTCAAAGCTTAACTTTCTACCAATCTTTGGGGTCTCATTAGTCATAGCTTGCTTCTGTCCTGTTGAGCTGTGGATTCCTGTACTTTTTTAATGGGCTGAATTGCTTACAGTGTTTACAGTGTTTTACATTATCATAATGTTTTGTTACCACTACGGCTGGAAAACTTTCAAAATTCATGGAAAAGTCATCAGTTATTTTTGTATACGGTAATGCTTACTGGCCTGACACTTGACCAACATTTCTAGCTGGAAAGTCCTTTAATGGAAATTCCCCAGCCAGATCTGCTTACCAACAGATATACATATATATTGTAAAGGTAGCTGTTTCTTTGTCTATGAACGCAATGCAGAACATACGGTATACGTTTCTATCCAAGTAAGGCCATTGTTTGAATATTGTCTGCTTATTGGTACATGTAAGCTATATGCTTTCCTTTGCTATAGGCTATAGGCTGTGCTATTGTCAAGATAAGATATAAAAGACATTGCAGTTGTGTCACATGTGAGCTTCCTGTGTACTCATCTTGATTTTCTTACTTTCTGTGGTGTGGTTGGTCCTATTTACCAGGAAATAAACTTTCTTTATTAAGTACATTCTGCTTTTCGCTGCTGTCCCAACTCTAGCTACATGCAATGTGCCCAGTGTCCACTTTTGGTCACAACATTCTACCATATGCTGAGAGCTTTGGCTATACAATGGGTTATAAATATATGAATAAATGAATACACGTTTGCTTTGTCCTATGATACAAAGAGTTTTGGAGAGATTAACACTGGGAAAGGATACAGAATGAAAAGCCACAGTCCCACTTGTCAGGTTAGCTCAGTTAATGCCTGAACCTGCCACTGCCCAGGAGTCTTTATAGACCTCCCAGGAGAAAATCAGAAGCCTACGTTCATCGCAGCTGACATTTCCCTCAATAAAGGGTTTGAGCATGTTGCATTAGAGTTCAAGAACAAACAATACATCACTTAATAGTACTCTTACTTATTCCATCAAGCAGTTCACATTGCAAAGTGCCAGTCCTTTTTCTTTCAATTTTAATGGACTCACCATTAGCAACTAGAATATTTTCACTGGATCTTTCATCTAGATTTATAAAGACTGTGACACATCCCCCTCCTGTTGCTCTTCCCACTCAGTAGGAAATTTATGCCTCTTTCAGTTGAGGTCTCATAGGAACCTTTTTGGTCTATGTACTTTGCCTCCAGACAGTGTAAACACTTTTGGAAACTTAGCTGTTTACTATACAAGATAGAGACAGAAACATGAAAACATTCATCCAATGACATGGGACAAATCTCATTTTATGTCTATCAGTCAGTTCAAAGCCAGTTAATCTTAAATTGTCAGACAAAATGGAAAACTGTTTTTCACAATCTTTGTTGTTACGACAGAGCTGTACAAGTTCCCTAATAAAAATTGCCTCTGATTTAAAGTTGGAAAACCTGTAGGATCTCTCAAGTATTTCCACCATCTCTTTCATAGTTTTTGCAGCCTTTAACTTATATAACCGGAGAGGCTCTGTGAAATTAATGCTTTTCCTGTAGAATCTCCATATTTCCATTTAGCTTTGGCCTGTGCATCCATTGTTTTTTTTTTGTCTTTGTAAACAACCATGCACTTTTAAGCACTGAGGTAAACTGCAACCTCTCTTTCCATTAAGAGAAATTCAGGGATGTTAACTCTGGAGGCTTTAAAAAAAGCCTTGTTGTGATCAACATACATTTTTCTTATTTCTCTTTCAGAGCAAGTTTGGTTAGGAATCTCAAAAAAAGAAACAACTCCTTTTTCTCTTTGTCCATTTATGAGGTGTGTTTTTTTGGTTAAAAACACAGAGGGATGGTCAGGGAGACAGAGAGAGAGAGAGAAAAAATTGCAAACAGTTTGAAAAACAATATAGACCAAAAAACACTTTGTTTTAAGCTATGGGCCATAAATTCCAAACTGCTTGCTGAGGAAGAGCTTGAAATCAACATGTATGCTGCAGCTATTTCCATCTAAGCAGCTAATCTGGCCTCTACACCATCAGCCATGTGAATTCAGAATAACAGCACATAATTTTGGAACTACCCACAA